CGTTAGGGCGTGTTTGGAGCGACTTTTGTGTCAGCGGTTTTTGGAAAAGTAGCCAATCAAAATCGTTTCCATCGACTTTTGCAAAAACCGCTCTGGACGACCTCCTTGAGGTCGTTTACAGCGACTTTTGGGATTGTGGCTATTTATTGGGCAAAAATATCAGAATAAATTGTTGGTTGCAAACTAAAATTTCGCAGGAGCACGCCCAAAGCACACCCTTGTCGGTTGCCGGTGGTTCGTCACTCCACTCCGGTGTGTACTGGTAAGTCCTCGACGGGAGAACTTTACCCCTGTGAAGCACGGCTGTGGTAAGTCATTTCCATGTCGAGGGTAGCTGCACACAGAACGCATCGAACGCTGTACACATGCCCGTCCCGCGCGACCTCCTACTTGTACTGAACCCTAGGCTCTGTGTATTGTACATGATTTCAGGTTAGCTAGGCGTTGATCTTATGGGTTGCGCATGCCTAGAGTTAGTAGTGATGAGTGCACGACTCCTTCGGGAAGGAGAAGATCACACCGACGCACAAGGTTGAAACACATAGCATTGTCGGTCGGTTTGACCTTTACCGGTGCGCCATTAGCGTGGCAGTCTATATTTCCAAGCCGCCGACTTACGACTGACTTGCGTAGATACATAGTTCTCATGCGCTATATCTACTCTACGTCGTTTCGCCACTCGCCGCCTGAACATTTGGCCACCACAGCCACTACGCGACAACAATTTTCTGCGCTCCGCTGTCATAGAGCTGAAAATGGACATTGAATGAACTACGTAGGGCAGGTATACTAAATTCAATAGTTACGTAGGCCACCTGGCCTACTTTTCTACTTTTCTCAATGAATTAATGCACGGCAAATACAAATAGCAAGATAAATGAAAACAATGGAAATGCTGGTCCTTTGTAGGCCACCTGGCCTATCGTGTATCCTCGAGCAGTGATTGGATGAAATACTGTGTATGCATGTCTACAGTATCATTACTTGATATGGCGACGGTCAATAGTTACGTAGGCCACCTGGCCTACTTTTCTACTTTTCTCCATGAATTAATGCACGGCAAATACAAATAGCAAGATAAATGAAAACAATGGAAATGCTGGTCCTTTGTAGGCCACCTGGCCTATCGTGTATCCTCGAGCAGTGATTGGATGAAATACTGTGTATGCATGTCTACTGTATCATTACTTGATATGGCGACGGTACCGCAGCGCGAAACTTCGACGCTGGAGGATATTCACGGAGCTCTGGTGGCCGAAAGATCCAAAAAGGCCTACGCGTCAGGCATCCGTCAAGTCGTCAAGTGGATTCAGCAGACCAATCAAGCCGATGCTCTGCTGAGTGCCGACGGCTCGATCAATCTGGCAGCGTTTTCGTACGACGACTTTGTCCGGTTTATCGTCTGGACCATGCAGAACACTGCTGTGAAGGCAAGCACGATGTCCGGCTACAGGTCGGCAATGCGAAACTACTACAAGATGCAAAAAGTTCCGTTGCCCTCACAGTTTGACGGTGATTTAAAAGACGTGTTCCAAGGTACTGCTAGCTACAGAAAACTATGACATGATTGGATCTATTAGGCATACGACGTATTACAGCTACAAGTGAGCAGACCACTTCTGTGAAGGACAGCGGTAAACGACCACTCGGGTATGGAGCGTACGATGCTCTGTGCCGCACAACGATATTGGCAATGGATGCTGGTTTCCTGCACCTCTTCCTTGTGTTGTCCTGGAACCTCATGGCGCGCTCGAAGTCAACCGAAACAATACAGCTAGGGCACTTGTCGTACGAAGAGGACGCAGTTGGAATCACGTTCTTCAAGTCCAAGACAGACCAAGATGGGAGCAAGCGTCGTGACCCGCGGCACATCTACGCCAACCCACTTCAGCCACACACGTGCGCCTTTCTTGCGCTTGGATTGTACCTTGCCTGCAACCCGATGCTTGCCGCTGGTGCACTCTTTCCCGGCTCGTCTCAGCGAACGAGATTTGGCAAAGGCCTGAAACTGGCACTAATCGAAGACAATCCTGTCGGCAGCAGTGAAATTGGCACCCACTCGATTCGTAAGGGTGCGGCCACGTTTGTTTCATCTGGCAGTACGGGTGGCCCTTCGCTTGTCAGCATTTGTCTTCGTTGCGGCTGGTCGCTGGGCAGCGTGTTTGAGCGGTACATGCACTATGAGCGTGCTGGCGACCAGTTTGTTGGCCGGGTTGTTGCAGGCCTACCACTCAACCAAGCCAATTTTGCTGTCCTGCCGCCGCATTTTGTCGATAACAACAGCGACGCTGTCGTCGCCGCACTGGATGTCACGTTCCCCACACTGTCCAAAGTAGCCTCAATGCGTGGCATCCTGGCTCATGGCATGGCCTCGCTTGTGCGCCACTTCGATTACGTGGTTGATACCCTTCCGGCCAAACACATCGTTTTTGGCACGCCCATCTTCCGCCAACCCCTGATGCTCGAAGCGCTCAAAGCAGAGCTCGCCACGACAAACCAGCGGCTGCAACCATCTGGCATCCCACCGTATATCGAAGTTTACAGACTTCTGGAGCACCAAGGCTCGTCTATCGACGCCATGCCCAGAAGCATAGTCGATCAAATGCGGGGCATGCTCGACGAGCGTGATGTGACGCACGGCACTATCACTAGCGTGCTAATCAAACAAACAATAGTGGATGCGCTGCAAGTACTTGGGGTTGGACGACACTTAGACGAACCTCCATTACGCCGGGAAGACGAGCAAGGTCAGCGAGTTACGTTTCTGTATTCGTGGGGCGGACGGATGCACAAGCTTCCAGAGGGATTTGAATTTCCCCTCGCCGACACAGCAACAGCTTGGTCACTTTGGTGGCTAGGTAACGATCGTTTGAAATATGTCCCGTACAACGCCATCGATTCGCGCGACCTCGGCTCCAAGAAGCAGCGGCGAATATTATCAGAATGGAAGCTAGTCATGACGGAGTTGGCCGATCGATACATGGAGTGTTGTGGCTGTAGCCTACCTGCAAGTTGGAACGAACGCAAAGCTGCCGAATCGTTCGACGTCGCCGTGCGCGGCTTACATCTGCTTCTTTCAACAACACCAATGGAACGCCAACGTCGCTTCGGCCAGCTCAAGGTTGTGACGGTTGCTCGGCTCATTCGTCAACGTCGGGGTGCAAAAACAAGTCGACCCTATCAAAAGAGAAAGCGCAGCGAAGCTCCTGGTACGACTTAGTTGTCTAAGGATATCACTTAAGGTCACAAGAATGTACTTACTCACCACGGCACAGCTGTGTGTTGGTTGAATTGGTGGATCAACTGTGATTGGATCACATTCGATGTAAACCAAGTAATTAACAGCCAATTACCTTGAGTACGTCGACTGGCCTACATTTGCTCATCACAATACAATGAATTTTAGGACGCATCATTGGTTGATTTTTCTCTGTTATTAACCAATGTCAGTGAAGGCAAAAAGTCGCTGATATTTCAGCGGCTTGTGGAAAAAGCCAAAAACCGCTGACACAAAAGTCGCTCCGAACACGCCCTTAGTGGAAATTATGACTACACATTTGTAATTCCCTTTAGACATACTTCGAAGTACAAACAAATAACAATATATATGAGGGACCTCGTCAACTTGAAAATTCTACGTAACTTTAGTTATTACTTCGAAGTAATATTTTCAAGTTGTACTGGTACAGTAGTACTGTAGTATATGAAGTGATAAACCTAAAATTACACTATTTTAATAGTATAATTTTAGGTTTATAAATAGTATTAATACTTTAATACAGGAGTAGTATTACTAGTATAAACTAACCAATCAAAGCAGAATCGTCGACAGCTCATACTACGGGGTTTCGGAGTACGTAGTAAGGTAAGTGATGTCGACATTATTATCCATGTCACTTGATGGGTGGATCATGTCTTCGACGGCTAATCCATCCAACTCAGTCAATACATCATCGTCGATGTAACCACCTTGGTCGATGCTTTCGTGGATCTCACCTTCCAGTAGGTTGCATGCTACAAACCCATTCAGAACGATGGCCTCTGGTACGCAATCCTGGGACAATAACCTTTTATAAATACAGTAATGAATCTCCAAAAGTGCATAACAGTATTACTTCGGAGGTTTTGGTGGTTTTGGCGCCACAGCGGTCGTTACAACCAACGCCTTCGGGCACTTTCGTTTGCTCTAGAAAGGAATGCACGGTGACCGTAGCAACCCTCCATCCTCCAAACACCAAGTACGGACCGGCCAAGGAAAGCCGTTGAGAATTTATTTCTCTGCGAAATCAAAATATATTGCTTCTGAGAGGGTCTAGAACGGAAAGTCCGTCGAAGAGGGTCTAGAACGAAAAGTATGTCTAACTCGAATTACGCAATACGGTATTCAAAGTTAACTGTGTTACTGTACAACTCCATGCTTTATTATAGTGTACTATGCACATGTGAGGAAATTTTGGCCTATCACGCCGACCCGAATAACCCTGAAAAACGTTCAACAAATGTTTTGTACTTTGGCCACCTCAACTCATACTAGGGGTTAAGCGTATCTCGGTGGTTAGTGATAGTTAACCACTGGTGATGCGCTTAACCCTGGGGATTTAGGATTATACTTCGAAGTATGTGCACGCGGGGGTAGGACGAAGTCCCGGGGTTACAGGGTTACGGGAAGAAAATTTGCTTGAACGGTTTTCAGTCTTGGCTGAACGGTACAGTATCCAGTTTTATTGAACGTTTTCCCATAGCTTCCACACCCACCCCTGGGCCAAATTGCGAATGCGGGTGTTCGTTCTGATCCTTCTGATAATTTAACGAAGCGACAAATGACAGAGTAACAACCACTTAGAGTGATCAGTGTGTTGAATACAGAAGGTATCATCCACCAAGTAAATGATGCAATTGGATGAACACCTACCTCGTTTAGTTTGATTGGCTAAATACGTTTGTTTCGTGCCTCTCATTGGCCAAACCAAATGTACATATATATTAACAGTATGTCATTAATTGGCACTTTACGTTACCCCGGTAACGAAAACGAACTGTAGTGGGGTGGACTTCCTACAGAACTTCTCATGCGCATTTGTACTATGTATAGTGAGCTTAGTACTTCGAAGTACGTTCTAAGTTAGTAGTACTACCGGTAGTTCTACGTATTAGCGTGTACGTAAACTGCACTAAACTGCCCATAACGTTATCGAGTTAGTATACCGTACTGTATAGCACACGCATGCGAACTTTCTTTTATGTATGTATGGACGGTAAATGTGGCGACCAATAATATCCATCTGACTCTCTGATGTTACCGCATATAAGGTAGTTCCGTTAAAGATATTATACTAGTATATCCGCAGCCGTCGAAACAATTTACAAGTCCACACACAACAACCTCAGAGCCAGATCGTTCGTGAATGAACTAGTTTTGTTGTCTCACAGCTGTCAATTGAGTACTTCGAAGTAAGTACGTACATACTACGTATAGTGTTGCGTAAAGTATCATGGAACGTGCAGGCACACCACGCGGTTGAAATTGTCGTTTCAAATCGATAACACACATTACCACGGCTCCTACACCATCCAAATTCACAATTCTTAGCCATGGCTACAACAAGAACCCCTCGCACCCCACCGAAAAAGAGTCATTCTTGAATATCCTTCCTCCAACCGACATGAAAGCCAGCCTTGTCATCACGCTTGCAACTACTGCGATTGCCGCCAGACAATCGTACGAAATCCTCACCTCGGCGGACCTAACCGCCCTCGAGCAGCAACTGGCCAAGTGGAAGGCGTTGTATGGCCCCATTGCCAAGGCCAACGGATTCCTCCCCCCAGTCACCACGGAAACCTTCCTAATCAACGGCCATACTGTCGAAGAACTCCAGCGCTTCCACGACACTGTCCAAGACGTCCAAGAAGCAGCCTTGGCCAACCCCGACGCTCATTTCAGTCCGTTCAACCAGTTCGCCCTCTTGACCAACGACGAGTTCAAGAATGTCTTGATGAAATCGTTTAATCCGCAAAACTTCACCAACGTCGCGCCCTTGCCCGAGTTGGCAAATGAGCGCGCTTCTGAAGCAGA